TATTCCCTATGATTAAGTTTATTCTTCCATGCTCCACATTCTCACTTCTTCTTAGTCCCTGCAAATCAGAACAAATATGAATACCACAACCGGTATCAATGACCCAAGAGTTAGAATGGGGTGAGTTATTAGATAAGATAGTGTAAATACCTACATGGTTGGGTTTAACTTTCCCATCCTTCACATCTTGCTGGTATTTTGGGAAGTTCCACTTTCAATGTGACTTTTAATGTCAATAGAAGCATTTAGCATCTTTTGGGTCAGAAGAAGGAGTGACACAACCTTTCTTGGTTCTACTTGAAGAAGAGCCATTAAGGGTCCTAGCCTTGGTACCCTTCAAAGAGCTCTTTCTCTTCTTCTCTCGACCTTTCCCGATTGCCAAAACCGGGGCGGAGTTTAGAGTAGGAGTGTTAACAACCGAATTACCCTTAAGACATGTTTCTGTGGTCTTGAGGAGTCCCTGAAGTTTGCTGAGTGTGACCTATTCCTTATTCATGTGATATGCCATGCGGAATTGATCATAGCACGATGGTAAGGAGTGAAAAATGATATATATTGCAAGCTCCTCAAGGAAGTTCACATTAAGCTTCAGCAACCGATTCACATATATTTGCATTTTCTGCATGTGGCTCGTGACGGACTCTCTGTCCTTCATCATGGATGTTATCATGCAGCAAATGATTTCGTACCTCTCTTGTTGTGCACTTTGATGGTATCTTTCCATCAGATCTTGGTGCATTTCAAAATGGTAGAAGTCCTCATAGGACTTTTGGAGTTTTGTTGTCATGGTTGCCATCATGAGGAATGCTACTTTGGTAGCATCCCTTTCTTGTTCCCATAAGTCAACGATCTCCTGAGGAGTAACAGTGATCTCATCAATCTCCTTAAGCTCCTTATCGATGACATATTCTTTGTCCTTGTAGCGGGTAATCATCCTGATGTTTCTGATCCATTCATTGAAGTTGGATCAGTCAATAGTGACTTTCCCACACAAGTTCATAAGGGTAAAGGAGCCATTAGGATTAGAGCTAGAAGCAGCGTTGTTTGAAGACATCTAAAAGAAGAGAACAAGATTAGTTTAGATATTAAGAGATTCCTTAATAAAACACCCAAATGTAATATTAAGCCTAGGATCCAATCAAAATATATTATAACTTAGAAGAGGTATGCCGTAATCCAAGCTATAACATATTTTAAAGGTAGGTGAATGACGATTCACCAATTTCCACCATGAAAAACGAAATATTGATATTAGGTTTTTAATTGGTTCTTAGAAATTCCTAGATTCTTTTGAGATTCAATGAACTCTTCAAAGGCATGTTTCAATCTCGAGTGTGCCCTCCAAGTTTTGTGACTGGGATACCGAGGCTCACAAAATGAGGTGTGAAGTAACCATGCAAATCACTTGGTACCCTTAAAGTTTATCACTTAATCGATGTGCCGGTAAACCACACACGCTCCACTGATACTATGATAATCCTTAAGTCACCCTTTACCTACCTTGTTAAGTCCAAGTTATTGTGCCGGTTAACCACACATGCTCCACCAACGATTTAAACAAAGTGTAAAGTGTAATTTCATGGATTAGCACCTTATTCACATTTTTCCTAAAGTAACTAAGATTGGGAATTTAATAAAAGCATTTAGTTACTTTATAGTATTCATCATATTTTTGATGAGAATTTATAAGTCCTTGTCTTACCCGTCCGGCTAATGACCCTCCACCGATCAAGGAAGCGGTGGGTGAGAGTGGACACCCATTAAGTTGCCATTTTATAGGCAACAACCTTATACCTCCCTTATAGACCGGCTTCGTGAATGAGGCGTACTAGCGGTAAGACGACTTGATCTTATACATACATACATATATATATATATATATATATATATATATATATATATATATATATTATTAACTTATAATATTATAAAGTATAAGGGTTGAATTTTAACTTTTAAAATTCTAAGGGTTGGAACTAAAGTTGTAATCAAGACTTTACTTGTTCCAAAACTTGAGGGAAAGTTTTGTAAACTTTCAAAACTTTTCTTTCTTATAACTTATGAATTAATTGAGTAATAAAAATGAAGACTCTTCATTTTATATAAGTCTTGTGTTCTTTTAATGGCTTTAATAAAAGTGTGACTTTTGGTTTTCCATAACTTGAGGAAAATTTATGGACTCCATTAAAGCACATTATGATCATGAACTAAACTACCATGAAGGTTACAAGCAATTCCTATGATCATCTAATCTTTATAAGTTCAAGAACATGAATATGAACACTTTCAAGAATCAAAAATTACACTTAAAAACTTGTAATTTTGATAATTGCCATTGTAAATGGATTAGCATAAACATTACACTATCTAAAATAGTTTTTCAAGTACCAAAACAGTTCAGGGTAATGTTTCTAGTCCATTTCCAGCAACAAAAGTCGAAAATCTGATGTCAGGGCCTCCTACTCGTTGAGTGCATGAACCTACGCGACGAGTAGGATGAGTATACACTTGAACTCGTTGAGTGCCCCCACGGACTCGACGAGTTCATTGATCAGACAGCATGTAGATTCAACTTTTTAACACAGTTTTGCACAAATAACAAACAACCAAGCCTAGGCTCTGATACCACTAATGGGTTTTGAGCATTCTAACACTTCCTAAGTGTACATGCAAACCTAATAACCTTGGATCTATGTTTGTCTAATTATCATGAAAATATTAATTCCAAGGTTATATTCCTATCTAGCATACATGAGGAAAATTTTTAACTTGAATGAAAGATTGAATAACTTACCTTGTTGTTGATTATGATCCTTGAAACCTTGTGAGCCTAGCACCCCAAGTTTGATGCCTCAAATGCTTCACACAACACCAAATGTAAAGGAGTAAACTTTGAGAGAATCTTACACTTGAAAAATCGGCTCTAGCCCTCTTGTTTCTTAGTTTGTGTAGCCGATTTTGGTGGAGGAGATGGTCTTTATATAGTGTGACACATCTTAGGTTACACCATGTAAACCCTAATGTGTCATGACTTTTCATTTCCATGACCGATGGATTTGAAACTCCCATAGAGCATCTATGGAGAATCCTATGGGTTTAACCCAACTTGATAATTCATGGAGCCTCTTAGCCCACTATACAAGTTATGGATGATTTACATAATCAACCCATGTATTTAATTAGTTATCTTTTGATCACTTAATTAATTCTAAATTAATTCTTGATCAAACTAATTAAATAATACTATTGATATGTTAGAACTTATAATATATTAATAAGCCACAAGTGTTATTTCTCTCATTTAGTCTATCCAATTGCATGGTGCCATGCAACCCAAATGGACCATGCTGGGTCGGGTCAAGTACATACCAGAAATACTTATGGACGTAGACACCTTATCCAACAACAAGACCTTACATTCATAACCTCATCTGGTTAGTACGCTCAGTGTATGCTCTGTGTACTGGACCTCGCATTAGTACGCACTACGTACTCCCTATGTAGGCCCCACGTACTAGGGTTATCCTTAAACCCTAAATTCTTCCGAAGGCCATAACATTTTCATTATTAGTCTGATTTCGATGAGCCTAATATCCATGGAAAGGTAATGAGAAGCTCTACGCTTTTATCAACTCATACCCGACTTAAAATTTCCTAAACAAATATCCAATATCCATAAATGCCCGAGCCAACACTTTACCAAAATACTCATTGGCTCCAAAACACAAACCGACCACCTGAATCATCTAAATTACATCACCCACACCCAAATAGGAAACAATTCAAGACAAGGTGTTACAGCTTCAATGAAATTTATTAGATTTTGAAGATGAGATCAATATTATGACTCAATAATTAGTGGAAATTATCATACATTGAAGATCTAGATCATATGGATGTTTAGGTTATTGAGTAATGGGTTTATGGAAAAAATTTTGAAAGACGGTTGAAAAAAATATACCAGGCATACAATAATATATACATCCCAATACATGGTTCCTTCATTTGATAGAGTCTAAAACATGATTACAAGATGTAGTATGTAATCACGTAAATATGTGAGTACTCCTTTAATCTCATGACCTATTTCTAATGTAAAGTGAAAAAAATAGTTACTTAGTTTAAGGGTAATTTGAAAAGAAACATTTTGCAAAAAATTATACTAAAATATAACTTTAGAGGTGGGCATTCAGACGTGTCCTTCCCTTTTAAGTAGAATATTTAAAAGTTGAAATAATCAAAGGGTCGTTTCAAGATTGTCACTTTCAAATCCCATCATTCAAGATTAAACACTTCTTGTTTCTACAAAAGCAACAATTAGAAGAAATGATTGAAGCTTGATATGCGATAAAAGCATCATTGTTCCTCATTATATAACTATTACTATGCCTGATAACATCCGTCATATCATTGTTGATGTCGAAATTAGTTAAGAGGTGTTGAAGTGTCTTTAGTCTTTGTTAGTGTTCAAATCAATCTTGTATGTTTTGCATAAGAGCGCATCTTAGTATCAAATCATTATGGTTTAAGCCCTTATATATATATATATATTTTTTGGGCTTTTATAATCCCTATAAATAGGTAATAGGTACTAGAGTTAGAGTAACCTTTGGGCTTTTACAGTTCTTACTCTATAACCTTCTCTGTATCTTCCAGAAGAAATATTAAGCCAAATAGATTTTATTTACAATTCTATGTTCTTGTTTGATTCATACTCTAATTTTATTTCATACCTTCGATTGATTAAAACTACATTTGGTATCAGAGCAGGATTCATACAACTGCTATATGATTTTCTCGAGTTATCAAAAGTTTTTGAATCTTGTTCTAAATTCAAAATTTATTCCGTATTTTTTATCATGAAAATATTTATAGATCTTCTATATTGATTCGATTCTGCTTTTGGTTTTTATAATCAAGTGTTCCTCATTTGATTTATGGAAGTATCGTTCATCAAATTCGTAATCTTTAAAGCTTTTCTCAAATCTCTTTCATACAAAATGGCTAACTTCAACATGAACATGATGACTTCTTATTGTCATCTTCTCAGTTCATCAACAAAAATCCCGATGTTGATTCATGAATTCTATGATCAATGGTCCGATCGAATTGAAGACTATTTGAATGGAATAGACGAAGATCTCTGGAAATGTATTACTGGTGAAATTCATCCTGCAAGTCTGTTACAACGTGTTGGAACTATTGCTTCTAGTTCAGGTGTTGCTCAACAAACAGAGAAACAGAAGAAAAATGACAAAAGATGCTTGCGTGAACTTCATGGTGCTCTTCTACCGGTGGTTTACAACTATGTAAAGAAATGTATGGATGAGCTAGGAGATTTCAAACAAAAAGAAGGTGAAAACATTGAACTCTATTTTGATCGAATTAATGAATTAATATTCAAATGCATTCAATATGGAGTCATTTGTTCAACAATGGAATTCAACTTGACCTTCCTGATGGGACTTCGCAAAGGATGGCGAAATATCAGCCTTATGATTAAGACTCAACAAAGTTTTGATTACTACTCTCTTGGTGATCTATACAACATGCTAACAGCTCACTAAAGTGAGATCATTGAAATTGTTGAAGAATCAAAAATGAGCTTGGTCCTTTAGCTTTGGTTTTGAAAGTGATAAGTACAGAGACTGAGGTTGAGTAAGCTTAGTATGATGGTTCGGAAGATGAAGGTTTAATTGCTAATTCGGATGACGAAGCAGTGGCTTTTTACTCAAATAACAAAGTGAAGAAATTATATAAGAAACCATTCAGCTCAAAGTTTAAAAGAGGTGATAACAAGGGTGTTATCTATGGGAAGAGTGTGAGAGAGGATAAGAAGTTAAGCTTGAGGTTTCGAAGTCAAAGAAGAAACTGAAAGGAGATTATTGTTTCGATTGCCACTGTAATGGAGAAAATCACATGGCAAGTGAATGTATGTTAAAAAAGAAAGAAGATAAGAAAGAAAATGTGAAGGTTGAAGCATAGTATTTTGCTAAGCAGGAGGAGGTTAAAGAAAAATGAAGGGGATGTATTTAGTTGCGAGAGGAACTGGTGAAGAGGAAGGGACGTATCAAATCTGGTCGTCTGGATCAGATGATGAGGGGATGTGAAACTCGATTCACAAAGAAATGTATGCAAATTTCGAATATGGGCAAGAGGATGAGGAGAATGTTACTAGAAGATGCTTTGTTTCAACCACAACTCACAAGTCTCTTATGACTTTGAAGGTATGTTCTCTTTTCAAATCCTTTAATATTCCTTCTAGTTCATATAATTTTATTTTATCTGAATTTGATGTAGCTATTACATATGTTAATGATTTGCTTATTTCTGCTAGTAGTGATGCTGAAAAGTCAAAATCGTACTGCTAGAAACCCAGAGAAGTTTGGAATCAAAGAAGTCTAGGATAGACAATTTAGATTTACAATTGACTAATGTCATGTGTGACAGAGACAGTCTTCGAACTGATAATTGTATTTTGTCAAAAGAAAGAAATATATATCATAATTCTGGTAAGCTCATATATGGCAAATTGACTGCTTTGCATCATTTTTTAGACATTAGCAAAGAACAGTCTAGGAGGCTTTTTCCCTTTTAGCCTTCAAAAAGGAGAAAATTAATTCAACTTCCTATGATTGTGATAAAAAAGATATCTGAGTTTGACAAGGTTCCAAATGATTCATATATATATATATATATATATATATATATATATATATATATATATATATATATATATATATATATATATATATATATATGGAATAGTTAAAATTGATTAATGTTTAGATGCAAATGATCTTATTGATATTGTGAATAAGACATTGACCAAAAAACGAACAAATGCAAATTTTGAAAAGAACTGAGAACTCAACATCTGACTCACAAATTTTTTTTGCTAATATCGAAGATGATTCTGATACTATCAGTGAAATTGAGGAGGATGAATTTGTTGACTGTTCAAACTTATATATCATGAATGTCACTTCTATAAACAAAGGAAAAGAAAAATGTGATGAATCCTTGGTTAAGAATAACACAGACCAACACTCGACTTCGAAAGTTCATGACTATAATCATGTAATTGTAGAAGACGGTCAAACAGACAGTGATGACGAAGTTGAATCTAGTGAAACAACTATTCCAAGGGTTGTGGGTGATCATTTTTTATGATGAATCGGAAATGTTCGAAAAAGTAATGAAGGAAAAAGGTCATCTTTATCTTGAATCGAATTCGGTGGTTTATCCACACTTCAGATGCACTGATAACTTGGTATTTCCGAATCAAGTGTTTGTTATGACAGGAAATGGAGAAAAAGTCAATCCTTAGATTACCAAAATTGTTGTTGAGGAAAACAAAGAAGCAACGAAATAAGGATTTTTCTCAAATCAAAGCACTGTCGAAAACAACCTTAACAAAAACTCATCTACTTTTCAACGACAAAAACCAAAAAGAATTGGGAGGTTAAGAAAGTAAAAGTTAATGAAGAAAAACTTTCAAATCAATCCATTTCTAAAGATCAAGTTACAAAAACTCAACTATTTTATGAACAAATTCAAAATATTTCAAAAGATGAAGAAATTTCGATGACTAAAGCAAGGAAAAAGGTTTATTGGCAAAGTGTTGAGTCACAAAATAAACAAAAAGTTTAAGTAACAAAGTCTTACAATAAGAAAACGGCTAAACAATTAATACCTTTTCTCAAAATAAGTCTTTTGTTCAGACTAATCCTACACAAAAACAAAATTTTTCAAAAGTTGCAAATGATACAGATGGTGTTCAAAAACCAAAAGTCTCAAAAGTTGTTCAAAATCAATCTCAAAAGAATTATGCTCCTAATCGTCAAAATGCAAAAAATTTCTTAACATAATTTTCAAAATCATAGGAATTTTGAACAAGTAAAAAATCAAACAAGGTTTTCACAAACACAACAAACTTTTAATTAAAATAATGTTGGTTATAATAAACATTTTCAAAATCGTTTTCAACCTCATGCCCAATGAGCACTTCCAAAAAGACATTTAGATAAGCAGGAACTAAAAAGGTCCAGAAATGAATCCTTCAAACCCATACAACCTCAATTTCCTAATCCTAATTGGATGCAAAAAGTCAAAGCCTTGTTTGCCAAAGGAAAAGCTAACATAAAGAATATCAATCATTGACTTGGAGGAAAAGGAAAAGTGCTTCAGTCAGGAAAGTTCTCACAAGAGGAAATTAGGAATTCTTATGAAAGCTATCTGAATGAATCTCAAAAAGGAATTTCTTCGTCAATGGAATCGAAACCATAGATTCAAAAGTGAAGATTTGTTCCAAAAATGAATATTGAGGCCAAACGAACTCAAGAAGATAAAGGGAAAGTTGGTGTTGATTCTAAACCTATAGATGATTTCATTTTGATTCCTAAGTTTGTTGAAGTTGAATTAATCGATAGTTTGAAATCGAAAGTTCATAATTGGTTTTTAGGATCTTCGTTTCCTAATGCATTCTGGTCTAATAACCAACAAACCAAACAGCCTAGGGGACCTAAATTCTTTCACTGATTGTAGGTTATGTGTGACGAGCATTACAACAAACATTGGTACATCGATAGTGGTTGCTCTCGTCACATGATTGGTCAAAAGGAAAATTTACGAGATTATTGAAGTCTAGAAAATGTTGGGGTAGTGAAGTTTGGGAATAATAATAAATGTGAAGTCAAGGATATGGCAAAGTTACGAATGGTGAGTTCACTGTGAATCGAGTGGCATATATTGAAGGTCTTCAGCATAATTTGATAAGTGTTTCACAACTTGTTGTGGGAACTGGAAATCAAGTTGTCTTCGATGAAAAAGGAAGTGTTATTTCGAACAAAGAAACAAAATAAGTGTTGCTCAAGTCAAAATGAAAAGGAGATATGTTCACTCTTGATACTAAGCCCATTATTGGTGCTCCGTTTGTATGCTTACTTTTGAAGGCTTCATCTGATATAAGTTGGCTATAGCATCGCAAACTTTCTGTCTTGAACTTCAAAAAGTTGAACAAATTGGTGTTAAATTTGATATTTTATCCACTCTATGCATAAAATATGCAGTCGGTCTGAGTGTTTTATCAAGAAGATGAAACAAATATCGTGGACGGTGACTTTCACTCTTGACATTGATTGTTATTGATATTTAAAGTTTAACCAATATGTGTATTCGGTCTTGGTCAATCATCCATTAAATATTGAAATGTTGAGATTGTCTACATCAAATTTATATTGCATGTCCACATTAAGAGCACTGATTCATTATGTAGTCACGTTACATGCTAGAACACGTGATTTGAAGTTTTTTCCATCGGAAGAGGCTACATACATTGAATTTCTTTACTCATTGATCAACTACTTTTTCATTATAGGTCTTGAAAGTTTCTTTGTTTATAAGAAGGCTTCTCTTACCTGACCTCAAGGGTTTTCGGTCACTAAAAGCTTTAGTACTTAAAATTATGGTGTTATTTAAACCTAATTTTGTAGAATAATTTATAAAGAACTATGACTCTCTTGAGGCCTTGAGTATAGTCGATTGTAATATTGACAACTTCAGTATCTTTGAATTTCAGGACAACTTAAAAGGCTTTCAATCGACCCAAAAAATAAAGAAGAGCACGAATCTTTTTAATCGAATGATGGTTTATGTTTTACTATGCATATTTCATGTCCACAACTAGCATTCATAGAGTTTAATGTCCATCTTTTAAATTAACTATTCCTTGAACATTTAAAGTGCTAGCATGAATTTGTTATGAGGTCATAGTTTATGTTGTAGAAGGAAAAATCTGAATTAGAGGGTTTATCTTTCTTCTTTAATATAGTCAATGGTGTATAAATATATGACAATTAGCATATGCTTGCAGCTCATATACCATTTTTTTCATGACATAATTAATATTTGCATCAAAGACTCACTTGTTGTCCGATTCTTGTGGAAATTCACCTCTTGCTTGATTTTTGGAGTGGGTTGAGGCGTTTCTAGTTCTCATCCTTTAAAATATACGTAATAAAAGCTTTTTCATAATTATAAAGCTTAAATGATGGTAACTAGACATGTCTCAATCCACTCCATAAACCAACTAAGAGGTAGGTGCATCTCTATAAGAATCGGTTAACAAGTAAGCCTTTAATGCAAATATTAATTGTGTCAAGGAAAAAGTAATGGTATCTAAGTAAAAAAAAACTGCATGATGATTGAACAAATATGTACACCATTAAGTATATCAAACAAGAAAGATAAAGCCTCCAATTTAACTATTTCCTTCTGCAGCATAAACTCATTTATCATAACATATTCTTATAAGCACTTTTATTGTTCAAGGAAGAATTCTTCTGAAATATAGCCATCAAACTCTAAGAATGTAGTTTTTGATTGGAGATATGTATAGTACTACCTAAACCACCATTCTCATAAAAAGTTTCAGACTCCTTTTCTTTCTATTGTTGATTAAAATCCTCTTTATTTGTTTTCTTGAAATTCAAATATACTGGAGGTTGTTATTATTACAATCATTATACTCAATTCATTAAAAGATTTATAAGTCTACATAAATTTT